TGTCTTCAACAGTTTTCATACGGAATTCACGCGCTATAGAAATACATATGGACAACAAATAAAATTTAACAAATTATTTCTATTTTGGCCCAGGATCGATTAAAATTTACTAATATTGAGAAAAAACTTTTTATTTCGTTGCCATTCGTAAATAAGCATACTAAAATCTGCGCTTCAAAACGTATTAGTTCGGACACTCAACATTTCATTATATAGATAAGTTTTCTAAAAGTCTGTTAAGTGTGCAGTCATACAGATGAAAAAATTGAGAACGCTAACTTAAATATGATAGGCTAACGTTTCTAATGTGGAGGATTTCAAGTGTTTCTGTTTTGGGGTTTAGCTTAGGAAAATAACTAGGGGATTTACAGAATAGAACTGAATAAAAAAGGATTTACTTAAAACAGTCTAGATTTTATGATGGTCATGTCAAAGAACAAGGTTTAACGCACTTCTTCTGGACACTTAGCGTTGACTTATACTTGTGAATAACCACTGCTTCAGCTGAACCTGAATGCCTTGATCGCATTGCTTTTGAGTGGCTAAGAATGACCCTTGTAAACTGTTTTAAAAGAGTTCTGTAAATGAACTGAGTAGTCTGAATGTATAAGATGCCGTACCATTGAGCTAAATAAGAATTTCTATCTTCCATCCACTAGATTCATCTTGTATTACGTAATTATGTTTATTTTCTTGGTCTCTTGTTTATTTTACCATTACAACCCTCGTTTGCATTGCTTCGCTTCCTTTCATTATTCAATAAGTTTCTGTATTATCCAACAAACTTATTTTAATATATCAGTATTATGTCTGGTTTCCAAGTTCCCGGTCTACTGAACATTATATGAAAATATCGAAAAAACCAGAGTCTATTTGTCTGTACTTTCCTGAATAGTTCTAGGAATACCACTCACTGCAGTCTAAATAATGTTTATCTCATTTCTCTTTATTTACTGGTTGTAACTTGGTAAATAATTAAACCGAGTACATAATCTTACTGCATTGATGCTTCTAAAATGTTATTCATGCAAAATCAGATTTATTACTTATATACTATTTGAAACATTATTAAGATAAAAATGAGAGAATGTGATCTGGTGTATAACGCTTTGGCGTTCAAAGGAGTGTGTACTGAGTTCAAGTCCAACTGAGAATAACATCGCTTTCTAGGATGGACGCACATCTAAGTAAGGAGTCCCAAATATTATGAAACCAACGTCCTGCTCAGGACTGTAAGCGACGAAGCAGATTACAAAAATATGTGGGAATCATCTTCGAAAATATCTTCTCATACTTGAAATCCGTGTACATAAAGGATATTTGAGATAATTAAAGGCACACCATTAAGCATTATGAAACTAGAACAAATAACCATTCGATTACCTCAAGCTTCTCAATGGTTCTAAAAGTGGTGTTGATTCTTAATTGAAAAAACTACCATTTTTTGTTTGACACAAAATAATGATACGATGTTATTCTTATTACTTTGGTAACTGTTTGATATTTCAGTTATATCTGAATTCGGTAGTGCTACATTTTACTGAGAGTTATTTCATTCTTGTTACGACCTATAGCATAGTATCTGACAGATGTTGTCCTGATAATGTAGAATGTCTCATTAAAAATTCAAAAAAGTATATTTAGAGGCAAATTGTTCATGTTAAACTTTTTTATCAAGCTTAATGGAGAAATATCCATGAGTATTGTTACGTAATATTCAAGATGAGGCATATATAAATTGTTGCTTAGACAGTTTATACAGTGACTAGAAGGAATACCAAGAACATACTACTATATCAAAAACATGATTAGATCTAAGATCTTAAGTTGGACGAAAGATTGTTGAATACTTAACTTTAAAAACGGTTGTATGAAAAGACAAGCTCACCACCTACTGAAAAGAATCAGCGAAGATATATATAAAATTACTGATCAGCAGCTAAGACATGCTTCTAAATCTCTGAAGAAGGGGAATTGTTGCAAATCAGGTATGAAGTGATTGAAGTTTCTAGAGAAAAAGCCATGGTTCACTGCTTATCCAAGATCTAGATGCAGTAAATTTTCCCATGCTTAAATTTTAACTAGCCAGCATTATTATACTACTTAACAGCCAAGTGGCTGGTAAGCTTAGTAGAATTTTTAAAGCATAAGCCACTGAATTCATCGTAAAAATGGGTAAGTCGCAACAAGAAAAATTGTAATCAGGGTTATCTTTAAGCAGGTCTACAGAGATTGCTGATGGTGCATGTAAATATTAAGGACACAGAGAAAAATAATAAAGGTATCGCAGTCAAAATAACTAATAAAATTTTGAAGCGTCGTCTGTACAAAATTTACATCAGGTTTGAGAACAGCGTTGATTGACAGGTAGGTGAAATAGCCATGGAAACCATTCCTGCGCTCATGTTAGCCTATATTTTATTGACAAAATTAAATTTAAGGTTTCTTCTGAGGTAGACTAAGTAGCCTCAGTTAACTTTGGTTTTGGTTTAAGCAATGCATTTTTTGCCTGCGACAGAAATTTGTGAGGACTGAAACTTCTAAAAAAATTTAAAAACACTAATCCTGCTATCACGTTTACCTGGAAAAGAAAAAATATCAATAACATTTATTTCCGCATGTGGCTTTTGCCGAAAGAATGATCACTTCCATTATCTGCAGAGTCTTCGGAAAAACTTAATTAGACAATGGTTTTATTAAATTTACATTGTTTCAAGCTAAAGTGATGCCACGAAACAAGGTTTATGACCTGCATATCAAAAATTTTACCATTGCATATCAATTTAGAGAGAGTGGCTGAAGATACGAAATAAGTAATGAAGTCTGTTTTCAGTGCCACTATCCAATAAACGTAAACTATTACACCGAAATTTATCAAGTTTTCTTTAAAAAGCAAGGAACATCAAATAAGTTTTTAGTGTTTTGTACAGTCTTTTTGTACATGGCCAAAGCTATGAATACCACTAAGATACATTTTTAGTTGCGCGCTGAAATGAAACTTATTTTGGTTCTTCGAGTAGAAAGATGCATACTCACTTGTTTACAATTTCAAGCGCCTTTACCGAGTGTTTATAACTTTGGAGGTCACAGATTCAACACTTTACAAAAGGTTACATAGTTTATTCAATAATATCTTACAATATGACTCAGATTTCAATAGGGTTGCATAAAATTATTATAATTCAACTAAAAATATATGTTTACATCTCTACCTTACCAATTTACAGGGTGAATACGGATAAAATTATTACAGGAAAAGAAGAGTGATTTATATCCCAGAAATCCAGGTCTACGGAAAATAATAGCCTTTTTTTTAACTATCATCAGTGAAAGCAAATTGATATATAATTCGGCAATATTTTTTGATCGAAGTAAGAAGAATAAGACTTGCGGAATAAATAGGAGATAGGTGGCTCATATTGCTTTATTAAAAATGGTAAGTGAAATACGTTGTAAGAATACTTTCTTGACTTGAAAATCGGTAAATTATAAAATCTGAAAGGATTTTACCCACTACCAGTACACAGTACTGTAAGAGTAGGTTGCTATATGATATTATTTAACATGTCCTCATTTAAATTACCTATAAAAGACAAACGTTTAGACAGCTTTATCCTATAGGATTTATACTCGTAAGGTAAAGCTCAATGTACTGTTAGATGTCGACATTAACGTTATTTTCAAATACTCAGAGAATGAACTATTCATAAAGTTTATCCCTGCACATTAATTTTGAAATTACAGTTTGAAATATACCCTTTACTAATAGCCTGTATCTCATATTATTTTTTCAGCAGTTTATTGTTACAGTCATGATAAAGCAGTAACCACCCTAGGGCAACCTGGCTATAATCAAGTGACAGGATTGTTTTTCTGCGACACATTTCTATTGTTAAATGTTTCACTACATGTTTCTTTTTAGTTTATAGTTGTAATGTTCAAATGAACAAATCTTACTTTATACTGTTTTATTTAGTGTAATTTTTGAAATTAGCTGGTCTGCGTCTTATGGGCAAGATTTCTGCATCAAACATACTGAGTGCTCAGGACAAAAAACACAATAAATCTTAGAAATTCGGTAATCTTAATTAATTGATGTGATAGGAAGGATTTGTAATTAATGGGAGATATTTCTTTACACATACAGACAGTGACTGTGATATACCTACTGAGATTGATGTCTCAGCATGATCTTGAACACTGAAAATGATGTATTTAACCACCAATTAGCTTAGAATAGACCAATAAACGAGATATATATTCATTGGTTAAAAGCAAATTCTTGTTTTTTATTGCAGATTCCCGATTTTCAATGTTATTATCATTATGCTTATGTCTACGCTATTTGACTTCACTTTTATCTCTGAAATTAGCGAATGAGAAAACAGGTTTTGTGAAGCATAAATAAAAGTCATGATGAGAAAAAATAATGAAGTATAAAAATATAAACAATAACAACATAAATGTGTCAAATAAACACAGAAAATTGACTTTAATTTTCTTGAATAATATGTATACTTTCATGGCATATAACTTCTAATTTTTATGGAATTGAAAAAGATAAATAATGATCCTGATGGAAAAGGCATAAACTTGTGACCTGTTTATTCAACGTGATAATGCAGTTAAGAGAGATTAACTTTTGGTCTTCTTACGAGCAAGTGATGTAAATCATAAATGAAAGAAAATGTACACAAATGCAAATAATAAATTCAGTCAAACTTACAACTGAAAGTGGAATTACAAATTCACTTATTTTATTTTCTTTGTATTTCTTAAGTTCAAAAAATCTATTACTGACGAATTCTCATAGATATCTGACTTGGTTCATCATGGCTTATTTCTATACACTGAAGGATATATTTGTGTATATATAGTTATTCGCACAAAATCTGTGCTATTCAGTGAAGGTTAGTACCATCAATATCTAATGCGAAAGTTTAACTCTTTATACAACACATTAAAATTCACATTTATATGAAAAAGAACCAGAAGAAAATATGGTTCTTCCTGCGCACATCGATTATACACTGAAACTACTCCAGTTTTATATATTAGCTGTTTTTATCGTTACAAAGACTGATCAACATCAAAGTAAGTCCTATCCTATCTTACTAGTTTTTATGTTGAACATTTTTATTTCCCTGAAAATAAGTTGTAAAATTATTGTTGGTTGAGTGAGCATGATATCGTAAATTCATGGTATAAATATTTTCCAGAAAACCATGGGGCATCATATGAGGTAGGTAGTTGTAATGCCTGATGCTGAAAAGTAATCCTAACAAGGTTACTTGATCACAATAATAACAATGATTCAAAACAGTTGGTTCTCTGTTTGAACTTCGACAAAACAATAAGAAGACGTAAATTGTCTGAACCGTGTAATGTATTTACGCAACACATTAAAGCATCTGAACACATAAATGTTGGTAACAGACGTCCAAGTTCTTCGATCGCCAAAAATATCATTGAGACAGGCTACAGGATTGATACGGCTACTCTCTTTACACCTATTTACAAAGCATGTTGGGGAGGGATCCTTAAATATGTTGAGGCCCTAGCTATTAGGAAGTTGAAACCACCTTTGTGTGTTCATGAACAATTTGTTGTCACACTGAATCTTCCTTGGTAAATTCAACTATTGAAAACCAAGTTTGATGTACTATTTTTTTCGCTCTATTGATTTTCAGTGTTATTCGGCCTTTAATTTAGCCTTCCTACCTGACCCCTTTTTATTTTCTCACCCCTTATCTTCATGAGTTTTTATATAAATACCTATGACAAGTACGTGTGTGATCAGATAGTTCGAAATGTGTTGCGCAAATACATTACACGGTTCAGACAACTTACATCTTATTGTTTTGTCGAATAATAATTCACTTTATTCCAAACAATTTGTGGTACAATTCGGAATTCTCAGCATGATATATTGCAACAACAACAATATATATACCTACTGCTTTATAATATTTCGAATTGTTATTATAAAAATTTAATTAGTGTAGAGAATGTTAGAAGCGAAAACATTTTACACTGTTAATTAAATTATTGAAATAAGATTTTAAACTGCTGCAAAGTTGGTAAGAGAGTTCCGTTCCAATACACGTTTCCTCACACGATAAGCCTTCTAAGTAAGGAACAGTCTAATTCCGGGACTTATCGGTACGAGCACACAGTCTTATATAATTTCTTCCTGTTCTTTCTGAGGAGATACAAGAAGAGAGTTGTGAATAAAGTGGATGCTCAGTATCAGTTTAACTTACTAGAATTTAAATGTCTGTCAACCACACTGTTAATCAGTTTAGCCAGAAGCACGCCACTTACCCCACTGACGGGTTTCAAAGCCCTACGCGGTATAACATAGACCTTATGTAGTAGACCAGGAAAGATCAACGGGGAACAATAGAGAAAAATAAGTAAGTTGTAGGAATTAATAAATTGTACAAGTAGAAGTTGAGTTATACCAGACAGACTCAGTTTCTCTATGTAATACGTTGGACGAAAGATTTTTTCACTGATCAGTAATTTATGAGACAACCACCAAAGATCGGAAATAAAAATCAGTTTAAGGTGGTTAACACTCGATTTGTTTTCTGTTGAAATACCATCAACGCAACAGGCATCATGAAGCTTAAGTAGCTCATATTAGTCTTGTTTATACCTGAGGCAGAAACTACAAAGAGGTGATGAATTATGGTCTTATATTTGCTCGTTTGCTGCAGTGATACCTCTAAAAGAGTATATTAATTCTTTTATAATGTTGAAAATCCCAATGTGCTGAGGTGTAGGTCTGCATATTCCGCTTGACTGTCATTTTATTCGCTGTAAAATAAGATATAATTCATCATAAATTAGTATAGCAACGGTGAAATGTGTGATGTATAACATAATCAGTGACAGGTTCAGCAAAATGTCTTCTTGACAGAATAACATTTTCATTACAGCTGTTAAGCTAAGCATTGTTTTTGGATTTATATCCTTGGTTAGGCATGTACATAATCATTTTGCACTTAAGATGACAGTATTTACGTATATCCGTGAAGTTAAGCTTAGATGTACTACAAAAAATCTGTCAATTAATAAAATTCATCTTCACAGCACCTATATACCCATTAATAGATGGATTTGTTACAGAAAATAAACCAGTTTTAAACAAACAGTGGGATTATTGCTTAAGAAATCAAAATGATTTTTTGTCTTTTAAAAGTAACCACACGTTGCCAACAGCTTTCAAAAACAATGGTAAAAGAAGTACTGTTGATATCATCATATCTATTACTTGTGAAACCAAATATCTTTTACCAGATTTCCATATATTCAGTGATAAATCAATCAAAATCAAATATCTAACAGGTAAACCGAATACAGTTAGAGTCATTATAAGCTAAACTAAAGGATGTTTATCAAACGCCACATTTGAAATTTTTTCGAAATTTTCAGAATAACTTTAGGTTATCAACAAATTTTACATCACCAAAAAGATCTTTTGGGATCTGATTACGTAAAAATCATAATGTTGGTTATTTTTCGTAGACAGTCAAAATGTGTATGCATGTAACCTAGATAGCCTGAACAAGGTAGTAATGATTTTCTTGGTAAACACTATTTATCACCATTTAATAAGTTGAGAAAAACTAGAATATATCGTTTCATGTTTATCGATGTCTTTCAGACAAGTTTATTACGCAATTTAAGAAATGGCAGTTTATTAACACCATAAGTATGTAACTGAGAAGTTACATTGGTTTCACCATTGACAAAAAAGCCATAAGTTATCTAAGAATGAAAAAAGGAGAGCTGAGCAGATATAGCCATTTATATTCAAAATATGTCTGTGTGTTATTGCTTCTTTTATGAATACATCTTCATGTATACTTTTTTCACGTTTGAACATTCCTATTTTCATGAAGTCTTGTATTTTGGACAGATTTTTGTAAAACTCATTGCTCCACATATTTGCACTTATTTAAGCATTGCACCATTAATAAACTTGACGTAGAATCCTAAAATGTTTAGGTTCATTAACTTCTAGATATTACATAGTGTCTTCTTATGAGTTCTTCTTTCACTTGCATCTAAAATGTGATATGTGTTTGTGGAACAGTGAAAAAAGGTCCAGAAGTAGGCAGGAAGTCCTCTATACTTTGTTTGCTTGTTTGTTTAATTGAGCTGATGATCAACTATCCTCTCAGAATAATGAAAGTATGAAACAACCCCCCACTGTACTGTAGATGCCTGGATCGTAAAAATCTTGGTGGTTTCCAGGTGTGTTTGCTAAATACAGATGCTTGTTTTCATTCGGTAGTAGTAAGTAAAGAAGAATAAATCTCAGTTTTATTACTGAACTCTATGTCCACTGTCAGAATATCACGTCTGCAGTTAGGAGAACTGTTGATAAAACTTGTTCCAATGTGCAAACTCAAAGAAGGTCAAAATTATTCTATCCAATCAGAAACAAACAAATGTGAAATGAGTAAATTTTACATAATGATGTATAATCCTGATTTCTGACAGACAAAATTATGCTGATAACATCACATGCCATTAAAAAAATATTCATTAGAATTAATCTTGGAAAGATAACATTTACATAGTGGTAACAGATTTACAATAAAGAGTATCTGAGGACGAAAATTATCAACAGTAAAGAATGTTTACATTCTTTAAAATTCAAGGCAATACCTCATGAATGTTTATTGAAATTGTTAGTTTACGGAGTACAAAATAAATCTGTACGCCTTTAAAATCTACTGAATTTGTAGTTGTCAAAATGCTCTGCAATAAACTCAAGACAAAGTGAACGTGAATGTTACGAAACACAGAAACAAACTGCAGAAATGAAAATAAAACATAGCTGATATGAATAATTCCTTTCAGTTCAACATTGTCACCTAGTAAATAAAATGGTCTTTTTTAAGTGAAGCTTCATCAAGTGTTCTAATATGAATTCAAGTCACCATAGTTAAATATCTTTTGATTTCAGGCACGTTATTTTTGTCAACTAATTTGTATTTTAAGCTTTATTTTCACTGATATCTGATAGCAAGTAACACACAAATTCATACTATTTATTCTAAGAAAATGAGATGTATGCACTGACTTGAAAAAAGAAGGGTACATTCATTACAAGACTAACACTTCGTCATATTTCTGTGTATAAATTTTAAGTAAAATACAAGAAATGAAATTCGTCATTCTTGTCTCTCTCTAAACAGAAAGCGAAATGAACATTGAAAAATTGAACAGAGAAAAAACATAAGAGGTAATGAGTCTGATTACAAATATTTCTACATCATTAGTTATAAATTTCAAGCTTAAAAACTGAATGAATCAATGCATTTTTAACTTAAACCTAATCTGTTCTTCTGTTTTGCCATGTGGTGTTACCAAAAATTTCGAATTATTTCATTGTAGCTGATGTATGTAAAAGCATCGATTATGATTTGCGTGTCATTGAATATGAAAATAGATTTGCACAACAAACGAAGGCATTATCCGGGAATATTTTTAGGCGAATACGCAAAAATGATTACATATTTGGTAAAGTTTCACTTTTATTGTTTAATTTCTATCGTCTACAATCACCCTCTTAGAATAAACAGGCTTCATGCTCATCCCGTGTCACCTGTATTCGTTTGATCCCTGGGTTTCATGCATCAATCTAGTGAATAATATAAGGAAAAGGACGGAATCAAATACTTCCAACAATCATTGGCAACAGTCAGTAGGATAAACGGAGAGGTTATTTTAAAAGCAAGAAAAGTTAGGAAACCAGAGCTTACTGAAATTCAGCTCTTTTATCCGACACAGTATTTAAATGAGGATCCACCGGAAACGTTTCTGTAGATTTCACCTCATTAATTATCACTGAAGATTATTCACCAAATTCTTGATAGAAGCTTATCATTTCAATAGAACCTAGTCTTGCGCTTTCAATGGTTTTATAGAAATTTTTTGTGAATAAAACACACATTTTTTTAAAACACTAAACACATAGCAATAAGTAAAATATGAAATGCTTAATAATATTTCTAGAGGATAAACCATTAATAAGGTGTATGTGTGTGGTCCAAAATAAACAGTTCATTTCACTT